TTCTCATGCCACTGCAGTGTACACAGATGGCTCTAAGTCTTCTGACGTCGTAGGATTCGCAGCAGTGTTTCTGGACAGTGTCGTACGAGGGCATTTACTATCTTCAGCTAGTATCTTTACTGCAGAATTGTATGCCATTCTTGCAGCACTTATCTGTATTGCAACTATGCCTGTGTCATCTTTTGTGGTTGTCTCAGACTCCCTTAGTGCTTTACAGGCTATACAGAAATTTGATACACCTCACCTCTTAGTCCTCCATATCCAACTTTGGCTACGCCGCATCTCTACCAACCATAAAGATATTGTTTTTTATTGGGTCCCTGGTCATGTTGACGTACAGGGCAATGAACAGGCAGACACTGCTGTGCAGTCAGCAGTACATGACCTACCAGTTTCATATAGAGGTGTTCCATTTACAGACTATTTTGCTGCAATAGCTACCCACCTTCACACCCATTGGCAACAACGTTGGTCTACTCTACTCGGTAACAAACTTTAATCTATTAAACCGAGTATAGGTTACTGGCCATCTTCTTGTCACCAGTGCCGAGGTTGGGAGACTACTCTCTCCCGTCTCCGCATTGGCCATACTCGTCTTACTCATAGATATCTCATGAAGAGGCACCCTGCTCCTCTCTGTGAGAATTGTCAGGTTCCATTATCGGTCAGCCACATTCTGTTAGACTGCCCACTTTATCAACGAGCACACAGAATTTGCCTCCAACGTCGTCTTCGCTCTGCTACTTTCTCTTTACCTTCCCTTCTCGCTGATGGACCCATCTTTCATCTGGACTCTCTCATTGACTTTTTGACAACAACTGACTTACTTCACAAACTCTGATGATACCTTCAGCTCTTTCTACCTCGATCTCTTGCTACCCTCTACCCTGCACTATCCCCTGCCCCGCTGTTTTCTGTAACTTTCTGATCGCCCCTCCCCCTTTCTGCCGCCCATTACCCTCGCTTCCTTTCCTACCCTGCAGCGCTGTATAGCCCTTGTGGCTTAGCGCTTCTTTTTGATTATAATAATAATATACTGCTTATATACTGCACACAACAGGGAAAATGGAAAAGTACTTCAAGTATATAAAAAAAATAACACAACACAACAGACATGAAATAAAGCATGAAAATTAACACTTAAGAAAGAATAAAAAAATATTGGAAACAGGATATAATGAACATTGATAAAGAGTCACTGAAAAGAAGTGTCACTCAGGAATCACTGCAAAATTGTCTCAACACTCGCAAATGTCTCTATAAAATTATTATCACTGTTGTGACATTGGTGAAGAATGAGAGTAGTATGTGAGGTGAAGGAAGGTTGGTTGTAGCTAGTGCGACACTCCACTACTCTCAACACATTGATGCCTCGACGAATTTGCACTTAAATCGACGATGGACTCACACAGGAGGCTTTTACGAATGACTCACAGGGACGAAGGAACACTCTTGTCCCTTGACCCCCCTATGTGGTCTGTAAAATATGGTGCTAGAACCCGTGATAAGGGTAAAAAAAAAATACAGTGTGTAGTGGGAAGGTGGGTGAGTGAGGCAGCCGCGCTGAGACACCATGTGGGCCTATGGAATAAACAGTGTAAGCCACTTGATACCCACACTAGGCACGAAAATATTCTAAGCCGGGCTTGTTTAAAAACCCACAAAATACCATAACACCACAGGGATGGTAAAGCACTCAGAACAGCTAGAACTGGAAGCACAAGGCAATGGAGAAGACTGTATCCACGTGGCTTGCTTGAGTACTGGGTTAAGTAACCTGGGTTAGTTGCTTGGCTAGCTTGGCTTAACCCATCACACAGACTGGCTTGAGAACTTGTAATGATGAGCACAGCAGGGGTGGAAAGCTGGCTTAGCAAGCAAAGCTGGAATGGTGTAGAGCTGGGCTGGACTCCCCCCCACAGACTGGCTTGATGGCTTGGCTTACTTTGCAAACCCAGGTCAACCCCTCGGAAGTAATGCAAATAAGCAAATAAAACACTAAGACACAGACTGACCAGTAAGTAGGAAGCAATAGGCTGGTGAACGCTTGCTCGGGGTAGCAGGCTTGGGATGTTAAGCGTCACCCGTCTTGGGAGGCCTAAAATGTCACAAAATGGCGGCTGACTCAGTAGAAATTTATCTCAAGAAATCGCCGTAATCGTCAGAATTACGGGCCCTCCGCTGGCACCATTTGTAGTGGGGGTTCGTAGGAGATATGATGATTAGAGTAAAACACACTTGTTGGATGGTAACACTTATATTAGCAGAGTATGAAGGGGGAGAGCCCAACCTGCTGTGTCTTGCCTGGCATAGACCTATGCAGGAACTGAGAAGGATCCCAGGCGCGAAGGGCTCACAACAGCATCACGTGACGTCACACATGCTAGTCACTCAGCCTACTGACCAGGGAGCCTAAATATATACACGAATACGATCTACAATATACTACACTAGTATAAGTGTAAGGGGATTCAGTAGCTATACTGACACACACACACACACACACACACACACACACACACACACACACACACACACACACACACACACACACACACACACACACACACATATATATATATAATATATATATATATATATATATATATATTAAACAAACACTGATCTCTGGCTGAAGGAGACTCGAACCTACGAACCTTGGAACAAGGTACGCAGTGCTATACCAAACTCACCACACTGGACAATACCTTGGAGTCCAGCTTGCGCTAGACTTTGATCCAAGGCAGCCAGCTTTCAGGGAGAAGGCTTACAGCTTTTCATCTCATCCCCTGCATGCATCAGCCTTACTAGAGATTTTAACAATGCAAAGAATTCGCGAGAGCAGGCGAAATATACACAAACACTGATCTCTGGCTGAAGGAGACTCGAACCTACGAACCTTGGAATAAGGTACGCATATATATATATATATATATATATATATATATATATATATATATATATATATAATATATATACACATTTTTTTAACAAGTCGGCCTTCTCCCACCGACGCAGGGTAACCCAAAAAGAAAGAAAATCTCCAAAAAGGAAAATACTTTCATCATTCAACACTTTCACCTCACTCACACATAATCACTGTCTTTGCAGAGACGCTGAGATACGACAGTTTAGAAGTTCCTCCAAACTGTTAATATCCTAAACCCCTCCTTTAAAGTGCAGGCATTGTACTTCCTATTTCCAGGACTCAAGTCTGGCTTACTGGTTTCCCTAAATGCCTTCACTAAATATTACCCTGCTCACACTCCAACAGCTCGTCAGGTCCCAATAACCATTCGCTTCCATTCACTCCTATCTAACATGCTCACACAAGCTTGCTGGAAGTCTAAGCCCCTCGCCCACAAAACCTCCTTTACCCCATCCCTCCAACCTTTTCGAGGACGACCCCTACCTCTATTCGGCAAGAGTGTTCTTTGCCGATTTAGCAGAATGAAAATTTGTTTTTGTCATAAATCACTGGATTTATTCACATAGTTGTATAAATGGAAAAGTTGGTAGATGGATCTACAACTTCCTGACAAATAGAACACAAAGAATAATAATAAACAGAGTAAAGTCCCAGGCAGCCATGGTAAAAAGCTCTGTTCCACAAAGCACAATACTCGTTCCCATTCTTTTCCTCATCCTCATTTCTGACATAAAGATGTAAGCCATAGCTCCGTGTCTTCCTTTGCGGATGACACCCGGATTACCATGGCAGTGACCTCCATCGAAGACACTGCGAGACTCCAAGCGGACATCAACCAAATCTTCGAATGGGCCACTCAAAACAATATGAAGTTAACCGAGGAGAAATTTCAACTGCTCAAATATGGGAAACCTGAAGAAATTAAAAAACAGAGCGGAAAAGTAATGTGAAGGACCTGGGAGTGATAATATCAGAGGATCTCGACTTCAAAGACCACAACAATGTATCTACCTCATCCGCTAAGAAAATGATAGCATGGATAATGAGAACCTTCAAAACTAGGGACGCCAAGCCCATGATGATTCTCTTAAAATCATTTGTGCTCTCTAGGCTGGAATACTGCTGTACACTAATGGCCCTCTTCAAGGCTGGCGACATTGCAGACCTGGAGGGTATACAAAGAACTTTCACGGTACACATAAGTACGATAAAGCGCCTAAACTACTGGGAACGGTTGATGATCCTTGATCTATATTCCCTCGAACGCAGGCGAGAGAGATACATGATAATATACACTTGGAAGGTCCTGGAGGGATTGATACCAAACCTGCACGCGAAAATCACTCCCTATGAAAGCAAAAGAGTCCGCAGGAAATGCAACATTCCCCCGATGACAAGCAGGGGCGCCACGAGAATACTGAGAGACAACACAGTAAGTGTCCGGGGCCCAAGACTGTTCAATTGCCTCCCAGCATACATAAGGGGGATTACCAATAGACCCCTGGTTGTCTTCAAGAAGGCATTGGACAGGCACCTAAAGTCAGTACCTGACCAACCGGGATGTGGTTCGTACGTTAGCTTGCGTGCGGCCAGCAGTAACAACCTGGTTGATCAGACCCTAATCCACTAAGAGGCCTGGTCCCAGACCGGGCCGCGGGGGCGGGGGCCCGCGAAACCCTCTCCAGATAAACTAATAAAATGTACATTGTTTCCCAGAAAGGGAGCATAAAACAGTGTTAAACAGGGTAAACCTATTTAGATTTATCTTAGCGTTACATGTTCAAAACTTTTCTTTCAGGTATTTATGACCATGTTGTCACAATGTTTGGAATTTTAATAGCCTAGATTATTTAAAATGTTAATTTAAGAAATGTATCACAAAATTTATTCTTCACAAAACAGAATCTGTAGTACATTTTTCCAAAACTTTATATATATATTTTGTGATGAACTACTGTTCTGTGATAATATTTGTCTAGGTGGTCTGCAGACTACGGTTCTCTATTGCATTTCAGGTTTTGTTTTATTTCTATTTTATGGACCTCCTGCAGATTACAGTGTCATTATTCAGGTGAGAGAGGGACAGTGTACCTCGGGGCCCTCAACTACTCGCAGGAGTTTCACAAGATAGGTGAGCTGACGACGGTGATGAGGGAGAATAAGTACATCTCCTCCGTGGACTCCTGGTACCACCTCATGGTTGACTACACCAAGAAAGACATAGGCCAGGGTCAGTGTCTCAGTTTGGCTTCTAATATTGTTTAAAGCTCCAAGTGGAACTTGGGATGACTAAGTTGAAATAACTCTTTAGAGAATTTGCAGCTACAAAAGAAAAAAATAAGATTTAATCTCTAATTTTAACATTAATGAAGGATAGTGAAAAAAGATCAGTCACAAGGATGGTAATGGGTACAATTCTCAGTCCATTTTAATTATCTGTGATGAGAAGGATCCCAAAGTAGGGAGTCGAAATATTAAATTTTATCTTTTGTCTAATTTCAAAATGGGAATTTTCCTACAACGCTAAACAGTTTGAGTAAAAAATCCATTAATTTAGTATGTACAGATGAATTACAAACTGCCTTAATTCATCTATGTATCTACACTTACGTTTTGAAATCTTTCTCCGGCCCCAGTAAACCAGAAAGTTTGGTAAATTTTTAACGTTGAGGTGGAGTATGAGCTGTCGTTGCTTGGGAAGGATGTTACAGGGCTGGGGAGGCTCTGGAACACGACTAATCTTTCCCTGGACGTTGGTCAACACTCCGCCCCATTTTATTCCTTTACTTGGCATAAATTGTGAGGACGTTTTTTCCTGAAAATGTTTTGGTTAATTAGAGAAAGGATCTGTTGTCCAGACTGGCTGTTGTCCCAAGTCATTAATTTCAGTGCCACTGCGGGGAGGGAAATGTGAAACTAGGAATGTGCCATGGTTAGGAGTGAGGAGTATGGGCGTGTGGAGGTAGAGGTTAGTGCAAGACTATACTTTAAATCAGAGTTGGTGCACGGAGTTAGTTTCCATTAAAAAGTCGAATAGAGTTTGCATTTAAGGTGAAACCTTCAGTGAGGTCACTGTTGGGATGGTGTAGACGTCGCAAGTGAATCCTGCGTGTCTGCTGGTAAACAAGGCAATATATAAAGATATATTGAACTGACAGTGCGACCTGACAGTCCTTTCAGAGCAGTGCTGGACGTTTCTCCATCTGGTATCGTGAACGAGTCACGTGTGTTCCATACATAAGCATGAGAGTGCAGTCTCTTAAACCCAACAGCAGTGAAAAGATGGCCAGAATCCCACAAGTGGTTTAAGAGAATACAATTTGTTGTGGTTCATTGTTGCCAAAGGGTGCAGAGTTACTGAAATAGCACTGAAAAATAGTCAGAGAAAGGAATGCCCCTTCAGGAAATCGGGAGTTCATGAATAGCAGAGCGACCAACTGAGTTAGCTTGTTCATTATCCTGAACAATTTTTGTAGGAAAATGATTGTCAGTACAACTTCAGCAGTTACTTTCATCTCCCTATTTGCCTGCCCACCATCGAACCCAAAAAGGGAAGCCTAAACCGTTGACGTAAACGACCGTAGACCTAACAGAAAGAAATAAGGGAGTACTATCACCGATATAAACGACAGCGACAGGACCAAAGTGGTGGTTACTCGCTGATGCTCGCTTGGCCCTAGCAAAATACACCGCCCTACCAGACAGGGAAGAGTGATGCTAGACCAGCCGATTGATTCAGTTGGGCCTGCGCTGAACTTCCCGTCTGACATCTGTTCTTATACCAAAAAAGCATGTTGGCACCTGCAGATCGCAGTCTACCGCTCCACTCACCTTCCAGGCATGAGGAAACACGGGCTTTTATGGGTCGCTGCCCACAGCAGTGTTCAGTTAGTTCACTAAGGGTCATGGATATCCCGACGGAGCCGTAGCCCACCCAATAAAGCCATGACGGCGAAGATGGTAATCCATCCACTAAACGTAAAGAATCTGCCATGGTGTAGGGTAAAGCTGTAGATTCTGGGGGCCAAGAGATATTCTATAAAAGCTTACGACTGAGTCGCAGTTTGTGGCCTCCGCTAGTCTTGCCAGTGTACATTGGGTAGACGGTTTGAGAATTAATTAATTGCATCTTTATGGACATAAGATAGCTAACAGTTAAAAACACATAAGGAAAGGCTGAAAACATGTAAGATACCAAAGCTGGATCTTTGGAGGAACAGAGGAAACGAGATAACCATATACAAGGTAATAAAAGAATGTGAAAGAAGATAAAGAAGGTTTCTAGTACCTGCGAGAAACATTACTAGAGACACGCTTTTACAACCAGGAAAAAGTAAACAGAGTGGTTGAAAATGAAATCATATAAGATGTGAAATAGTAATTGATACAAATATTGAAAATATATTATAATTTGGGAAGAGTGACACCATAAACAGGTAGGCACAAATAAACAATTACATATACAAGTATTTACCTAATTCTTCTTTGAAAATGCTTGTAAATAATTACTGTACATAAATTAATAAGCATTTTTTTTAATTTAATATTTATGTAGATAAAAAGCAGTACGTGAACTATTGTCTATTAACTCTGCTCAACGTTTTGCAGACATCGGCGAGACGACTCTGAACGACACATTCTTCAGGGAGGTGCTGTCGTCGTTCCTCTTCTCCCCCATGGGCTCCCGCTTCCAGACCTATTTCCATTTTGACGGGAACCTGACTGTCTCCCAGCCTACTCCTCCAGTCACAGTCAGTAGCTCGCACTCCCAGCCAATCAGTATCCCACATCAACCCACAGTTCACAATCAGTACCCCCACATTAGCTGCCAACTGTCTCGCATACTCTTGTCACTAGTCGTTCTAATCCTACAGCGTCATCCTCCAATATTCCTGCATCTGTACAAAACCGTTATCAGGTATTTACATCATACACAACTACCAATTACACCTCTGCTCCCATTTGTGATGTTTCACCTCAGACTCCAACCCCTTTCCCCTTTCCTCTCGCTCATCAGCTTGTGTCCAACCAACATCCCAGAATCTCTTCGCTTCAAATTTTCGAGTGACGGCAGAGGCTCATGCATTTCCACCGTCTACCCTATACTTTCCTAAGCATGAAATTTTCCTTTGCATAATTGAGACTGACATCAGTCCTGATTCAACTAACTTTCCATTGAATGAATTAACTAAATTTCCACTGAGGCAACTAACTTTCTTGTAGCTTCAACATCTACCTAGTCATCTGCTCATTCTCACCGTTTCCTTTGTCATATCTTCTTCACCAACCTCCTCCTCTGTATCCGTAGTTAGCAGCGCTTTACCTTTTCCCACCCACCGTATTGTAAAGAAATAAGGTGAGAGGTGAGGCAAAGTTGTTGGTCACTCAGATGTCATACGCGTTGGTAATATTGGTGGGTATCGGCGTCACCCCGACTTGTTGCGTTTTCCATTTAAAGATGAGTGGACTTCCAATACTAAATGTCTCTTTATGAATGCTGAGCATGTTAAATCAGTGAGGTTTGTGTGTCGTGTCAGGGGATCTTGTACACTCGCTTACGTGTTGTGGTGATGGTTAGTTTTTGGCCTGGTCATTTCGTGAATGCTATAAATGTTATTACTGGGTTAGGCTGTCGACTAGGCTACCAATTGGTAAAATCCTACACTTGTTGTCTCTGTTCTCACTAGTTAAGTATCAGCTGTCATTTGTCCGTAATCTAAGATGAAGCAAGAAGGGAAACTTAAGTTTAATAAATACATTGGAAATAGTTAAACGTTTTTCTTCAAGAAATTCCAAGCTACATATTTTCTAGGCCCTGAGGAAGAAACCAATAAGAACCACACGTTTTGTATACTTTTCGTGATAGAAAAACAAGCGGATGAGACGGTGTTTATTAGTGATATTTGTGTAGACCTAAATTTGAATGTTTTGGACTCTGAGAACTTGACATCAAGAAAGAGTGAATGGGACGGAAGGTTCTACTGTGTCGAAAGTCACTTAAGTGAAGAGCTCTTTATCAAAGAAATACAAGGTGTCCTCTTCATTGATTTACTATTATAATCTTGGCTGCAGGTGGTAGTGTGTCATTATAAGAAATGCAAATTAAAGCTTGCCGAACTTTGGTATTTCAAGACAGCATCTCCATTTACCAAGGACCTGCACAACAATTGCTTTAGTGCATACCCAGTCTTTTCGCCAAATTTTCTACCTGGCATTAAAAAGTTTGGATAATCAACATTCTGAGAAGTGATGTCGAAATAACATCATATATCTTCAGTGACGTCTCTTGCAGGCACTTCATATGAAAATATAATTTTCGCCTCAAGATCAGTATTTTCACAAGGTTCATTATTATTCTGATCCAATTGTGTCATTGACAGTTAACAGCCCATTGGACTCCTTACCATCGTTAGTTGTGTTCCACTGTTGTTTATGAACTTTAGAATAGATCCCTTGATCTTCATGTATCGTTTCCCATTTCTTCCTCTTCTGTCCTGACTAATGGGTTCTTTTATATCCATCCGACATATTAAAAGACAGTTGAAGGTTGGATCATATTCACTAAAGAAAAGAAAAATTATTAAAAAAAAATATTCACGAAAATTTTGATCACCCATCTACCAAACAGAAATCAACCCACCCCATAACAATGCATTCATCAAAGGGCCTACGAAGCAGAGTGCCTAGCTACTAGATCTGCAGGGATCTTATTCTCGCCGTGGAAGAGACAAGTGGATTTTGAGATTTATCTTATTGTTTGAGTGTGAACAAGGTAACATTTATGAAGGGATTCAGAAAAAATGGTTCGCTGTACTTGAACCTCAACCCTGGAGGTGGGTACACTGCTTGTACTTTATAGTACTGGTAAAGGATTCTGAGGTTCGTAGGGTCAATATATTGTGATGTTTTCGCACTTCTGGCAAGACAGCCATCGAGTGAATAATTGTAAACGTGCTTCCTTCCATGGGTCGCTTTACCTTGTGAAACAGCCGATGTGGTCAACAAAATTAAAGTATTCAAGGGAAGGGCTCTTGATCCAGTGAATTAACGACACTCTCCCCTTCCACAGATCAAACCTGATAACCCCCTCATCCCTCCCAATCCCCAGGTGCTGTATAACCATTTCCCTTGAATATAATGAGTTTCAGCAGTATATACCAGCACTGGGTTTCCTGTGCCCACACTTCATCGTCTCTCTCCTGCAGGCGAGCAAGTTCGACTACAGCCATAAGGTGCTGGAAGGCCGTGACGAGCAGATCACCGCTATGGATCAGGTTAAGCAACTGGTGACTGACGCTGGGTTTTCAGGTGAGTCATGGTGGCAACTGACCTCCACACACACTGATGAAAACTCACACTCACAGCTTAATATTGTTCCAGGATAGACTGAAATGTCACCCAGTGAATAATTTGTGAATTCCAGACGTTTGTTCACGTAAGATTAATATCTGCTGTATCTCTCTTTAGTTGGCTATTTTCTACTACCCGGCAAGATGGCAACTGAAGAGTCCATTACAGACACTTAATATTATCTGTAAACATTTATACCACAGTTCCTCATAATTTTTAACTTTTGGTTTCTTCTTGGTATTCCTCTTCCATTACCTTCTCTTTATAAAGTTAGGAGGTACTACCTCACTAAATTTGAGGACCACCACCTCCAAAAATTGCGGACACCGTCCCCTTAAGCTGGGGGCTGCCCCTTAAGGATCTGTGGCAGAATTACCCTTAACACTATAATAATATCTTTATTTACTACAAGTACATGTACAAGGTATGCAGGCCCAGCTGACATCAATAACATACTACTATAGAGAAAGCCGCTTGTTATGCAGAGCATTTCGGGCAAATTAAGTCAGTTTTGTCTCAGGATGCGACCCACACCAGTCGACTAACTCCCAGGTTCCCACTGTAATGATGGGTGAACATAGACAACCAATGTTTCTACCCTCGCTGGGAAGCGAGAGCCTTAGCCACCAGGCCACAGGGCACCGTAAATTGAAAGAAAGATAGAGAGAAATAGAGAGTGAGAGTGAGAGTCTCTAATAAGAGGTATCTTGGCCCTAAGCACTGGGCTTACGTTAGTTATCCACGAAAGAAGGAAAAAAAAACACCCACTTGGGACCAGATATGACTGAAAAGCTTGAAGAGGACGAATTTCGTTGCACATAAGTGTTAAAGCATATGGACTTGGATGTGTCAGGCCCAGCTTCTGTCGGCTGGCATGCAGACAGTGTTGATGTGAGTTTGATGAGTATGGAGTGCATGTTATAATGAGCTTTAGTGTAAGAGGTAAAATCCAGAGGTGCCGACTTCCTCTCGGGTTTGTAGGAAAGGAATAAGGATATGCGTACAAGGTGATGCCCAGTCGCTCTGGCAACTTCAACAGGTCTGCAGCTACGTATCTATAGCTCATTGTTAATGCAAAGTGCAAACGTCTTATGAAGAATGAAGTGATTGAGAAAAAATTATTAAAGTTATTGGTGAAACTATAATCTCCCGTGGTTGGGGGTGATACACACATTCCTACATACCTGACTGTACTCTCACACATAGTTGTGCCACTTACACATGGCTAATCCACCCAAACACTTACCTCATAACCGAATACCCAGCTATCACCCATCTTCACTTCCCTGCCACACAGATTTTGCTGCTCCCCTGGCTATGATGTACAGCAGCTGGGAGACTAACAAGGTGATCATGGTGGAGCTAGTGAGGAACCTGTGCCTGGCTATGGTTGCCGTCTTCGTCATGACCTTGGTGCTCATCGCTAACCTCGTCACTTCCTGCTACGTTCTTCTCTCCGTCACCATCACTCTGGTGAGACACTCTAACACTGACTCACTGCCTGGGTGTATAAGTTGAAGGTATTCCCCACCTGGTCTTATCGTGACCGTGCCTGTGGTACCTGTCCCAGCAAGTGTGATTTTCATGATTCATTATAAATATAACTCTCAGTAGTTTTTGTACCTCTTGAGAGTCTCTACAGCTCGTGAGCCTTCTGAGGATTTTAAGCAACAGATGATAGGCTTTATGAATGTGTTAACAGGCAGAGGAGAATTCTGATCAACTTCTTACCTGGAGGGTGTTCCGAGGAGTCAACGCCCCCGCGGCCCGGTCCCAGACCAGGCCTCTCGGTGAATCAACCAGGCTGTTACTGCTGGCTGCACACAGTCTAACGTACGAACCTAGTCCGACTGATCAATAACTCAGAACTCGTCTAGCTACGTCTTGAAGACAGCAATGGGTTTATTGGTAATCCCCCTTATGTATGGTGGGGGGGCTGTTGAATAATCTTGGGCCCCTAACACTTAATGTGTTGTCAGTGTACTCATGGTGTCTGCTTTGCATAGACACCATGAGTACACTTATTTTTTTTTTCTAGATTTTGCTGCCGAAACGCCTAGTTTATTGTACACCCCATATCCATCCTGTGGACGGTAGCGCAAGAACATATGGGTACACAAAGGCCTAGGAACTAGGCCCCAGAAGGGTTCACAGAAGTACATCTGGATTTATATCTACAGTACATTTATCTGTTACAAGCAAATTTAGGAAATTTGGGAAATTTCCTTCGAGAGTTATATGGGAGATACCGCTCTCAGAGCCACGAACACATGTCTGATACCGCTCTCAGAGCCACCAACACATGTCTGATACCGCTCTCAGAGCCACGAACACATGTCTGATACCGCTCTCAGAGCCACCAACACACGTCTGATGCCGCTCTCAGAGCCACGAACACACGTCTGATACCGCTCTCAGAGCCACCAACACATGTCTGATACCGCTCTCAGAGCCACCAACATATGTCTGATACCGCTCTCAGAGCCACCAACACATGTCTGATACCGCTCTCAGAGCCACCAACACATGTCTGATACCGCTCTCAGAGCCACCAACACATGTCTGATACCGCTCTCAGAGCCACCAACACATGTCTGATACCGCTCTCAGAGCCACCAACACATGTCTGATACCGCTCTCAGAGCCACCAACACATGTCTGATACCGCTCTCAGAGCCACCAACACAAGTCTGATACCGCTCTCAGAGCCACCAACACATGCCTGATACCGCTCTCAGAGCCACCAACACACGTCTGATATCGCTCTCAGAGCCACCAACACATGTCTGATACCGCTCTCAGAGCCACCAACACATGTCTGATACCGCTCTCAGAGCCACCAACACATGTCTGATACCGCTCTCAGAGTCACCAACACATGTCTGATACCGCTCTCAGAGCCACCAACACACGTCTGATACCGCTCTCAGAGCCACCAACACACGTCTGATACCGCTCTCAGAGTCACCAACACACGTCTGATACCGCTCTCAGAGTCACCAACACACGTCTGATACCGCTCTCAGAGCCACCAACACACGTCTGATACCGCTCTCAGAGTCACCAACACACGTCTGATACCGCTCTCAGAGCCACCAACACATGTCTGATACCGCTCTCAGAGTCACCAACACATGTCTGATACCGCTCTCAGAGCCACCAACACATGTCTGATACCGCTCTCAGAGTCACCAACACATGTCTGATACCGCTCTCAGAGCCACCAACACACGTCTGATACCGCTCTCAGAGCCACCAACACACGTCTGATACCGCTCTCAGAGTCACCAACACACGTCTGATACCGCTCTCAGAGTCACCAACACACGTCTGATACCGCTCTCAGAGCCACCAACACATGTCTGATACCGCTCTCAGAGTCACCAACACATGTCTGATACCGCTCTCAGAGCCACCAACACATGTCTGATACCGCTCTCAGAGCCACCAACACACGTCTGATACCTTAAGACTCAGAATCCTGACTGACTTTGCCAACCTCAAGAAATGACAAGCAACGCACTTTTTTTTTTTCCACAAACATGACTTAGTCACTCTGTCTTGCCTCTCACTTGCAGGCCTACTCAAGCCTCTGCCTACACTGACAAACCTAAATGATTTAATTAAAATAATTAAGTATTTCTTCTCCTATGCCAAATCAAAATCGAGAACAACGTCCAGTATTGGGCCCCTACTTAAACAAGATGGGTCCTACACAGATGACAACAAGGAAATGAGTGAGCTACTCAAGTCCCAATATGACTCAGTTTTTAGCAAGCCGCTAACCAGACTGAGAGTCGAAGATCAAAATGAATTTTTTATGAGAGAGCCACAAAATTTGATTAACACAAGCCTATCCGATGTTATCCTGACGCCCAAATGACTTCGAACAGGCGATAAATGACATGCCCATGCTCTCTGCCCCAGGGCCAGACTCATGGAACTCTGTGTTCATCAAGAACTGCAAGAAGCCCCTATCACGAGCCCTTTTCCATCCTATGGAGAGGGACATGGACACGGGGGTCGTCCCTCAGTTACTAAAAACAACAGACATAGCCCCACTCCACAAAGGGGGCAGTAAAGCAACAGCAAAGAACTACAGACCAATAGCACTAACATCCCATATCATAAAAATCTTTGAAAGGGTCCTAAGAAGCAAGATCACCACCCATCTAGAAACCCATCAGTTACACAACCCAGGGCAAACATGGGTTTTAGAACAGGTCGCTCCTGTTTTGTCTCAACTACTGGATCACTACGACAAGGTCCTAAATGCACTAGAAGACAAAAAGAATGCAGATGTAATATATACAGACTTTGCAAAAGCCTTCGACAAGTGTGACCATGGCGTAATAGCGCACAAAATGCGCGCTAAAGGAATAACAGGAAAATCGGTCGATGGATCTATAATTTCCTCACTAACAGAACACAGAGAGTAGTCGTCAACAGAGTAAAGTCCGAGGCAGACGGTGAAAAGCTCTGTTCCACAAGGCACAGTACTAGCTCCCATCTTGTTCCTCATCCTCATATCCGACATAGACAAGGATGTCAGCCACAGCACCGTGCCCTTCCTTTGCAGATGACACTCGAATCTGCATGACAGTGTCTTCCATTGCAGACACTGCAAGGCTCCAGGCGGACATAAAACCAAATCTTTCAGTGGGCTGCAGAAAACAATATGAAGTTCAACGATGAGAAATTTCAATTACTCAGATATGGAAAACATGAGGAAATTAAATCTCATCAGAGTACAAAACAAATTCTGGCCACAAAATAGAGCGAAACACCAACGTCAAAGACCTGGGAGTGATTATGTCGGAGGATCTCACCTTCAAGGACCAAAAACATTGTATCAATCGCATCTGCTATAAAAATGACAGGATGGATAATGAGAACCTTCAAAACTAGGGGGGCCAAGTCCATGATGACACTCTTCAGGTCACTTTGTTCTATCTAGGCTGGAATATTGCTGCACTCTAACAGCACCTTTCAAGGCAGGTGAAATTGCCGACCTAGAAAATGTACAGAGAACTTTCACGGCGCGCATAACGGAGATAAAACACCTCAATTACTGGGAGCGCTTGAGGTTTCTAAACCTGTATTCCTGGAACGCAGGAGGGAGAGATACATGATTATATACACCTGGAAAATCCTAGAGGGACTAGTACCGAACTTGCACACGAAAATCACTCACTACGAAAGCAAAAGACTTGGCAGACGATGCACCATCCCCCCAATGAAAAGCAGGGGTGTCACTAGCACGTTAAGAGACCATACAATAAGTGTCAGGGGCCCGAGACTGTTCAACTGCCTCCCAGCACACATAAGGGGGATTACCAACAGACCCCTGGCAGTCTTCAAGCTGGAACTGGACAAGCACCTAAAGTCAGTTCCTGATCAGCCGGGCTGTGGCTCGTACGTTGGTTTGCGTGCAGCCAGCAGCAACAGCCTGGTTGATCAGGCGCTGATCCACCAGGAGGCCTGGTCACAGACCGGGCCGCGGGGGCGTTGACCCCCGAAACTCTCTCCAGGTAAGTCGCCTAGTCGCTAAATCCTTGTGGGCCACAGAGCGCCGTAGGTAGTGATGTGCGAAGGCAGAAGTGTGCAAAGGTTAAAGGTGTGGGAGGGGTAGACGTAGGGCGATGGGTAGGGTAGTGGAGGTGGGGGGGTGAAAGGTTAGAGTGTAAAATTTTAAATATATCTGGCTCAGTAGTTTAGTGAGATCTTGTATGACAACATTCAGTAGGACTTTGAATGACAATGTACAGTAGGACTTTGAATGACTTAACGTACAGTAGGATCTTGAATGACCTAACATACAGTAGGACCTACATTAAGGGGTCATGTGATCCGTGACACTTAGTACGATCCACTGTACATAATGCAAATTAGGGACTTTGGTGTATATACAGTTTCCTACAGTGTATAACTGATGTTCCAGGTGGTCTATAATTTGTGATTTTATCATTTGAGAAAGGTATTTCCCCATATCACACAACTCCAGCTCCCTTGTATCTCGTTGCACACAAAGCTTACTAACTCTACCTCAAGACTCATGAGGCAGGAAAGCTGCAGCTCAGCTCTCCCAACAGACCTAGGAGGTACAACTGAACTTTCCCTAGAGGCCCAGGAGGTTTAGCTTACAACACTGATGAAGGCTAGCAACTTGAGCTGCTGACCAACACCCTCAAGAGACCCAAGAACTGTAGATCGACAGCTCAAAAGACCCAGCAGCTAAAACTCAACTATAAAAATACGAGATCAAAGGAAACTGTATTGATGATGTCCGTAGACATCACTAACCATTGGCCTTGACAGCTCCCTGCCACCTAGGAGGCTGTCAAGACATTACTTGCTTCTCAGAAGCGTCAGTCTCGCTATATTACGAAAACCAACTGATTGATCTTAACGAAACTCTCTACCCCTACTGTGCCGGGGGATATTGTAGACTCTACACTATAGTTATATCGAAACATTTAAATTAAACCTTGTTTTCTGAACTTCTTGTAGTATGGTAAACAATACTGGATCTCTTAAATAGTTGGAAGGGATTACATGTAAGATGTAGTGTAGACTAAACAGTATGATTCTTAAGTTATAGCTGATACCCCATTTATTCCAGTTCTGAGAGACTCAGCAGTGCTGAGACCTGAAAGTTGTTAAAAAAAAAAAAAAGCATTTCGAAGTTATCATGTGGAAGCCAATCTCTCAGTTTAATAAAACTGCCAAATTGGCACTTGTACAGTCCAACAACAATGCAGACCATATTTTTTTTTTTTAGCAAAATGCAACAACTTTAAAAGTTTAAAGCCAATCAAGAGAGACATTCTCTAGATGTTAGGTAAAAGGACAAGTGCATCTTGTGTGACATTTTATTGTGGCAACGTTTCGCTCTCCAGGGGCTTTGTCAAGCCGTTACAAACAATGCGTATGTATGTATAATGTTCGCCAAGACCGTTATATATACATACGTAATACGTTATACATACAATACGGAAACACAGAGGGTATATATAGGTACGGAGTGAGGTGCAAAGCATAATATAATCGTTGTAGGTAGTAGTAGTACTTGTGGTGGTGGTAGTAGTGTTGGCAACTGTGTGATAGCGGGATTTATTGCTTGTGAAGAATTCTTGCTAATACTTGAGAGATAACGAGGCTGCCTTATTCTACTTAGCGATTAATGATGATTCAGGGCATTTACGTCTACGGAAACTGGGTTCTTGAATCACTGAGCGGGCGTCATTGAATTTCATCAGGTGGTTGGTGGAATTCCAGTGTTGTACCCAGGCGTTGTTCAAGTTATCGTTCCTACATGTATTATTAATATCTTTATTTCTACAAGTACATGTACAAGTTATACAGGACTAACTGACATCAACATGCTTCTATATAGAAAGCCGCTTGTTATGAAGAACATTTCGGGCAAATTATGTCAGTTTTGTCCCAGGATGCGACCCACACCAGTCGACTAACTCCCAGGTACCCATTTTACTGATGAGGAACATAGACAACCGGTGTAAAGAAACACGCCCAATGTTTCTACCCTCGCTGGGAATCGAACCCAGACCACACCGTGTGAAGTGAGAGCTTTAGCCACCAGGCCACGGGGCACCGTGTTCATTGAGACGTGTTTCGAGGTTTCTTGCTGTTTCACCTGCGTAAATTCTGTCACAACCTCCACAGGGGATAGTATAACCCCCTGCGTTGATTGGTTCAATGTTCTTCAATTTCGTCCTAGTCAAATCTTGTATGGAAGTACTGGTTGCGATGGGGACTCTAGTGTTAGTTTGTGTGAGTACTTTAGAGACGTTCAGTGCAACCTGGCTGTAGGGAAGGATTATAACTGTTAGGAGTGGTGTTGGTGTGTGGGGAATTTATATGAAGGGCTGTTTTCTTGCAGTCTTTGATGGAAAAGCAAGGAAAATGTAGATCAGTGAAGGTTTGGTGTATGTATATACATTCCTCGTCAAGAAATTCTGGTCTGCAAATTCGGTATGCTATTAGGAAAAATCCACTGATGATACCCGTTTTGGTTTTAGTATCTTGACTGAAATAGAAGTATGCGAGATCGTTTTTGTTTGTAGGCTTCATGTAAACTTGAAACCTGAGACCTTCACTGATCTGCATTTCCTTTCCTTTTTCATCAAAAACTACAAGAAAAGAGCCCTTCAGATCATTAATTCTCCACGCACCAACACCTCTCCTAACAAAGTTATACTCCTTCACTACAGCTAGGACGAAAATTGAAGAACATTGAACCAATCAACGCAGGGGTTTATATTATACCCTGTGGTGGCTGTCACAGAATATCCGTAAGTGAAACAGCAAGAAACCTCGAAACACGTCTCGGTGAACACATTAATGAATGTAGGAACAATACCTTGAACAACGCCTGCGTACAACACCAGAATTCTGCCAACCACTTAATGAAATTCAACAATACCCACCTAGTGATAAAAGAGCCCAATTTCCGTAGACGTAAGTGTCTTGAATCATTAATCGCCATTTCTAATACAATTAAACAGAATAAAGGAAGCTATATCTTCTATGAAGTATTAGCAAGAATTCTCCTCAAAGCAATAAACCCCGTCATCACATAGCTGCTACCACTACTACCACAAGTATTACGACTACGACTACAGCTACTACCACAGGTATTACAAGTACTACTACTACTACTACTACCACAGGTATTACAAGTACTACTACTACCACAGGTATTACAAGTACTACTACTACTACTACCACAGGTATTACAAGTACGACGGACCGAAACGTCGTCGTAAGACGACAGGATATTTATGATTCACAATTTGGTCTATATTTTTATGGGGGAGCGGTAAGCCCATAGAGATTATACAGCTCCTGTGGGAGACGGGGGATACAAGGCATTCAGGCTTAATTCAGGAAGGAAATATAAACACATAAGCCGTATAATGTGTTCCTTTATTGGCAACGTTTCGCTCACACACTGGGCTTTATCAAGTCACAAACAGATCGATATTTTACACCATTTATTTCCACCTTAATTCAGGAATTTGGAACAGTTCCAATTCCCTAGATCAAGAGCCAGCATTAAGGAACCTCGCTTGAGGGGAATTTGGTCTTTAAAATTAGCAAACTGGTACCTACACTCAGTACTTATCAGTGTCTTGAAGTGAGATACACTGAAGTTGAAAGTTTGAAGACGATCAAAATAGCCGTTCTTTAGTTATCGCATGGAAAATTTCAAAGAAAAAATCTAAAAGTGCCGTAGTTATTATTAAAATCAAAACTAAATGTAAATCCTCAAAGGTTATTACAGCGGTGCAGGGCAGTTGGTGTGATAAAGTAATCACTGACACAAATGTTGTAGTTACATATATGAATAGTGAGCCACTTTGTATGAATCGTGTGACCCACTGTGTATAAGTAGTGTGACCCACTGTGTATAAGTAATGTTATCCACTGTGTATAGTTATAACAATTCCACTTTAATTATTGTCCCAACAACGCAGATTAACGTTATGGCGTTGATGACCTGGTGGGACCTGACGATCGACATCATTACCTGCATCAACCTAGTGCTCTGTATCGGTCTCTGTGTTGATTACTCTGCCCACGTCGCTCTACACTTCATGCAGGTGAAATTTTCTTTTATTGCTTCTTATAAGTGACTTCCTATTTGTAACCACAAGGGGCAGAGCTGAGCTCTTGATGTCCTGTTTTTTAGTAATTTATATAGTTGTATAAACCTTCTATTAGTTATAGCACTTACTGTCTGTTCTTATTTCACAAAGTTCAGTACTTTTGTCGCAGTTCTGAAGTATTAGGTTATTAGCCGCTGTCAGTAACAGTTACTCAAAGAAACAATTTGACTATATTGTGTGATTAAATATATTCCTTCACCAATCACTGTGTATATTATATACAAGGTGTGCAAGGATTGTCAGCAAACTAATTTTATACTCGATAACAAACAGGGAATACTACTAAAATAATAAAAAAGCTTACACTATGATGTGCACCAGCTAGTGTTTTGAGAGTCTGGGTAGAACCATTACTCAAAGTAATCAAACAATCCTATCAACCCCTCCCCTCAACTGCCAGAATACTACAGCACATCTAATAGTCACAAGACACCATGCTGACAGCTGGCAAAAATAACCACAGGATTGTACTCCCCTAATTGTACTCCCCTAATTGTGGTTGCAGGGGTCGAAACTCAGCTCCTGGCCCCGCCTCTTCACTGAACGCTACTGGGTCCTCCCTCTCCCTGCTCCATAAGCTTTATCATACCTCATCTTAAAGCTATGTATGGTTCCTGCCTCCACTACATCACTTGCTAGACTATTGCACTTCCAGACAACTCTATGACTGAAGAAATACTTCTTAACATCCCTTTGACTCATCTTAGTCTTCAGCTTCCCCTTGTTTTTGTGTCCCTTCGCTGGAACAACCTGTCTCTGTCTACCTTATCTATTCCACGCAGTATTTTGTATGCCGTTATCATGTCTCCCCTAATCCTTCTTTCCTCCAGTGTCGTCAGGCTGATTTCCCTCAACCTTTCTTCGTAGGACATTCCCCTGAGCTCCGGAACTAAACTCGTTGCAAACCTTTGCACTTTCTCTAATTTCTTGAAGTGCTTGACCAGGTGTGGGTTCCAAACTGGTGCTGCATACTCCAGTATGGGCCTGACGTACAGAGTGTAGAGTATCTTGAATGATTCCTTACTTAGGTATCGGAACGCTATTCTCAGGTTTGCCAAGCGTCTATAGGCTGCAGCAGTTATCTGGTTGTGTGCTTCCGGAAACGTGCTCGGTGTTATGATCACCCCAAGATCTTTCTCCTTGAGTGAGGTTTGCAGTCTTTGGTCACCTAGCCTATAATCTGTCTGCGGTCTTCCTTGCCTTTCCCAAAAATTCTGACTTT